TAAATCAGTGATGCTTTGGAACCTTTTAACAAACTACAAGCGCATCCCATCCAAGTTATCATTGTTTAACGTCGAACGATTTTCATATTTAATTCTGTTTCAACTAACCGAGGCAATAAAAGGCATCCGGGTAATGTTGTTTTTAGATAATGTATGCTGCATCTGTATCAGATACTAGTTGTTTATCATTTTCCGGAATCACAGTACCTACATAATCGAAGAAAAAAAAACTGATTTGGGGAAGAATCGTTCTTAAACTTATATTCGGATTTTCCGCTACTGCAGCCAAAACGTTGAATGTATTGTCGTTTTCCTGATAGTTTTGACGGACATTTTGAACGTTATTGCTCTTGTAGTTCTTTAACTAATTTATAATCAAGTATAAATTTAATATACGTCAAAGGCAAATAATGAAACGTGATAGCTGTTTTTTTAGGTAATTCCAAGGCATATTTGATTTATTGTAAAAAGAACCTTTTTATTTTGTCGATTTCTACGGTCTTGAAAAACGGAAAATTATAAATAATAGTATGAACAGATGCAGTATTTTTTTCTCTAAAAAAAACCTATTTAAACTTTTGCTCTAAAATAATTAGGGGAGCTAGTAATTGACTATAAAGAAATTACCATTGAAATCCCTATGCTGCGTCGCGCTAGGCACCACCCGGTATATGTATATCACTTCCACAATTTTTTACACTCAAAAGTGCAAAAATTTGTCCCCTTTCGACCGACACGGGGTTGACCACCAGCATATTGGTAACTTCACCTGTAGAATAGGTACACTTCCTTCGTTTCAGTCACCCATTTTTGTCTTGTGTTTTAGGTTATTGAAAATTATGTATAAAATATAATTTATACCTTTAGAAACTAACCAAAACAGACATGTATTACCTGAGTGGTAGGAGTGGTGGTGATTATACGTTTCCTGCTTTAGTATTGAAATTGATATTGAGGTTGGAAGACGGGATTTACTTTTGTTAATATTTTCCCTACAAAGACCATTGCCATTCGTACGATACATTAGGACAAAGAACCCTAATCCTTTTTGGCGGATCTTTGTCAAAAACCCGATTTCGAAGTAAAACGGTCTGGTATGCAAAGTGAGAGTGTAGTGGAGGTACCATCTGAAAATAGTAGCGTGCGTTCTTTCAAACAACGCTATGCTTTTATCTATTATTTTGGAACGAATTTATAATAGAAAAATATAACTCGTTAACGTTATTTTAACGTTGGAACGTTTGTAACAAATGAAAGTTCTGTATAAAAACTGGTTCACAGAAAGCAGTAGCGTGCTATTTTGTTTTCGGTGAAAAGTTAGACAAAAGTTTTTTTAATGTATGGTTTGAAGGACCACGATGCTACAATGAACAATAGATTTTCAAACTCCAGTGATCATCGAAAAAAAAAACAAGATGTAGCAAATCAGTTTTTATCTCTACAAAGAAAATTTGGCAAAAAGTCCAAGTAGAATAAACGACCCTTACGTACGGAAAAGGTCAAAGTTTTACAGCGTCCCAATACTGAATACTTATACATGTTGATATGCACTGAATCCAAAGCAGTGATTAGTTCATAACTTTGCACCATAACGTTTACTATTCTTGATGTGTATTTTGCGAGTTTGCGAAAAGCTGTACATCGTTTTTGCGCAAATAAAACTAAATGCATTATTTTGTATTGTATTTGTCGTAAAACTCATCTGAAAATGTTATATGTTGCCGCGAAAATGTGTGTTTAACAACTTTGCTAATTAAAAGTTAAAATGTTCAACTACTGCTTTTATGATGACGTAATATATATGTCGTAGTCTTTTAGTGAAATCAGTCATTTCACGAAACGCCTAGTCATTTATATGAAACTGTGGAACAGTTTACTTTCCAAGACCAAGCGATTGGATTCCCTTCCCATTAGAGATCGATAAATGGTATCCTTATCGATCTAGAAGGGGAAGGGAAATTACCCCACACGTACAAATTTTCAGCGTTTCACTAAATGACTAGGCCTCGGACTAGGCGTTTCGTGAAATGACTGATTTCACTAAAAGACTACGACATATACATTTTCAGGCTCCGAATGAATGAATAAACAAACAAGTAAAAAGGTTTTCGTCCTAAGGCGAGTAAATTCAGTGCCTTTTCCATGAATGATGAGTACTTCCCAAAAGGCCATAGCTATGTTGCGCTGTGATTTTCTTTACTAGAGGCATATATGGTTAAAATTTCAAAGAAATATCTCCATAAACAAAAAAGTTGGCGTTGCGCAGTTCGCGCGTTAGCACATTTAATGTATGCTATAGGTATGCGATGTTTGTTTTTACCAGTAGCGTTTATGGTTAAACTTTAGAGAGAGATTTTCATAAGTAAAAAAGTTTTGTCATTTTGCAGTCTGCGCACGCGTGGATTTCATTTTTACTATGTGCGATATGTTTGCTTTTCCTAATGACACTCGTAGTTTTCGATTTTTACTACATGTGGTATGTTTTTCTTTACTAAAAGTATCTATGGTTAAAATTTCAAAGAAATATCTTGATAAATAAAGAAACTGGCACTGACTGTGCATCCGCACATCTAATTTTTGTAATATCAGTTATGTTTGCCTTTAATAGAAGCATCTGCGGTTAAAATTTCAAAAAGATATCTCGATAAATAACAGTTGATATTGCGCATCCTGCGCATGCGCACATTAATTTGATGTTTAAAATATGCGATACGTTTGCTTACACTAAAAGCAACTTTGGTTAAAATTTCAAACAAATATCTCCATAAATATGAGAGTCTGCGCAATATATCGTCACAACGATCACGATAGAAGCTATTTTATAACGTTAACGAAAGAAACTTCAGTGCGTGTCGTAAAACTATGTTATTGGTTCCTTTTTTTTGGTCAACTGAGAAGATTAGTTCATTTGAACCAATAATTCGGAGGTTGTGTTGTAGTTAAATAAATGATTTTAATATGTTACGTTTTTTACGAGTTGAGCAGGCGTATTTTTGATGAAGAAAGGGAACAACAATCGGTTTCGTCTATACAGAAGCATTATTAGAAACGCATCAGACCCATTTCAATTACCAGATAGGAGATGTATTGGGTTGTTTCGATTAATAAAATAATTAACACAATCTTTATTGGACAACCTACGGCCTCATTTAACGCACTATTTAAGACTAAGTGACTTTTCTGTAGAATTGAAACTCTTCAGTTGCCGGAGGTTCTACGCCACAGCACAGATATACGTAGGTGAATCTGTGGCCACAGGTAGTTATCAACGTTGTGGTGGGCAAGATTTTAATTCTGACTAGAGCCAAACCAGCATTCATCGATGCATTCAAAATTCCCAAATATTTTGGAAGTAGGAATTTAATAAAAGGGGATCATGTTAAACGGACCTACAAGAGGCGATCGGTATGGTGAGTACACTTTCATTGGTCCGATGGGGTCATCAGTTATTGATGTCTGTGCAGTTACCTTAGACTTATTACCATATGTGCATGATTTTGAAATAGGCAAATATTACTTTTCTGATCATTTTCCACTTATTTTGAGACCTAAATTTTACACGGAAAAGGGGACTTTCGTTCCGCTTCTTCCAAAGTTAAACTGGAAGAGCGAATATAAAAATGTGTATACACAAAAAGTCGAGCGAATGGCACAATGTCGCGTGTGGCCGGATGGTCCTCAGGATGGGCTGTTGTTATCGTATAATGTAAAGATTATTGCATAAAATAAACATATCGTTTTGCATGACTTCCAATTTGTTGTTTCATAACATACATAAATATGATTTCCAAACGCCCAAATAGGTAAACGTGTGTAGACGTTTCCAATTTAGAACATGAGAAATGGGAAAAGGGAAAAAAAGGATTTAAAGTTTTCTCATTCGATCAGCTCAGCAAAGTTGGTTCCCAATAAAACGTATACCGGATTTGCTGTTTTTATTTAATGTTTAAGGGTTGATTCAGTCAAACAACGTGAGTGCTAAGTTACGTAGGTAACCCTAATTTCACAATAAAAATTGGTGGAACCACTTTAATAAAATACAGCAATGTATAAAATATATAGACGAGGGTCATTCGTGCCTAAATAACTCATGAATATGGCATTATAAGCGTTGATAACGTTCGACATTCAACAGTATCGTTTAATACAAGTCTACGTAAAGGAACATTGAGAAACGTAAATCGATCAAATGCGTTCTAAAAACATGTAGGTACATAAATAAGGACAAGAAAATTTCCCTAAGTCTTTCTACAGTTGATCTTCTATACTTGACAGGAAAACTTTGGACTCTATAAAGGAAAACAATTAATATTTGTGAAACTTCCTATTAATACATCAAACTACTCGAATTCTTGCTTCTTGTCTTGTCTTGTTTTGTATTATATTTTTGATTTTTGATCCCAATGCTTAAAATGAAAAAAACTCACCCTGTGTATATATATATATATATATATATCTGTGTGAGGGAGAGAGGGGGTGTGTGTGTGTGTTCAGCAGATACCAATTAGTAAAAAAAGCCTAGTTGGCCAAATGTTGTCTGAAATGCCCATAGGACAGAGAAACTTCGAAAAGTGCACCAGTCTAATAGAGGAAATCACTTTACTGGCGTGCGCTAATTACAAACTCGGAGATCTTGCAGTTTAATTATAATCTGCATGTGTGTTATGCAAAATGAAAGTCGTGCAATTAGAGCATGATTACGAACCCATGATCGACAGTACGAAAACTATTATGCCTGCAATTATTTATGTTTTAGAAAACGAGTTTCAGTTGCCCTTGCTTTCAGAAATGGGAAGCAAAATAGCTTGGTTACTTTCATATTTAACTATCTTAAAGGGCTGGAAACATCGCGGGTCGAAGTTTCCATAAATTTTTTAACTACATTTTACGACACTTCCCAACATAAATATAGTATAGTACTCGAAAGGACAAATTGCAAATATAAATTTAAAGAGGTAAAGGTACTATTTTACAACTGAAAGAATTAATTAAAAACTTACCATGTAACAAATTTGAAATGAAGCACAATAGAAATATTCTGTAGTTCATCGTCCTGTAATAAAAAGATAACGATTTTAATTAAATGGGCACAACACAAAACGCAATGATTTGCTTTGTTTAAATAGAGAGAAACTCGAAATTGAGATTGTCAGTTAAATTTGTTTGTCTGGCAATTTCACACGCCATTTTCATACAATGTAGAAAGTTCAAATATAATTCCGGTATGAGCTAATGAGCTAAGCATCAAGTCTCGCCGGGTACACACAAAAACCCTAGGGAACTGCCACATTTTGATAAAAAAAACTTTCACTATTATTCGATAGGGAATGTAATCTATGAACAGTTCTATTATATTTTCATGATAAATTAACAAAGGACAGACCAATTTGCACACTTTACTTAAAAATTCGGTCGGGTACATAATATGGTCAATGTTTGATAGTGTTAGCAAAGAGTACTCCTCTTTGCTGATAGTTACACGATTCAACCCTTAATTTTGTTGTTCCTTTTATTGGAAAACCTTTTAAACACTAATACTGTTATGAAACAATTAGATTGGCTCGTAATTGAAAACTAATATCTGATTTAGTTGAAGCCAATCCAGCCAGCTCTTCTATTTTTTATAAATTATCTCAAATTCTCAAGCTAAATCCGATAATTAATTATAGATCCAGGTACAGCATAATAAATGACTGCGCATACCGTTCTTCTACAATTAGAAACCTGCTTTTTGAGTATGAAAACACAGGACTGCGTATCTGAAATAGTGACGCCGTCAATCAATTTAAGTACGAAATATATTTTGTTTATGCGTACGGGTACGTCAAATGTGACATTTCGCAGATCATATTCAAACAGCGAAGTATCGTTTCGTTGCTGGAGGCAAAGAAGCGGAAAACAGGCAGAGAAATTTTACTTCTCTGCCTCTTTTGATTTCTATACCTGTTTTGACTATCCGTTATATACAAGAAATTCCAGCATACTAATTTTAAAAAAATAGTGAGATCCGCTGACACGTCGGAATTTCCGTACTCAGCCCTAAAGGGCTAACTGAAAACTCACTTCTCGTCCTTGGTAAACAATATACTACTCTGGTAAATAACTTATTAAGATTACGACTTTAGTGCGTGTATAATATGAGCTATTGCTAGATATTTTTGTGGAGGAATCAAAATATTCATGTATTATATTATCGTTTGCTCTGGACTTTTCTTCTTCAACGCAATGGCGGTTTTCACGTCTCTTAAAACCCACGTACCTACTATGGGTTCAAATCTGATTTGTATATTACATACACTGGGGTGCAGAGTAAAAAGGACCTTGAATAAGAGACATTTTTAAATTTTTATTTTGACTACCTTAAGTACGCAAGAGGATTAAACAATTCCAGAGGGATCCTATGCATGCGAGAAGTTTGATTTAGCTTGTACAGTTAGGAAAGGGGAGAACGGTACCGTATAGTCCACTTGGGCTCCAAAACCACAACCCAGGCCAAGGTGGGGGAAGCAAAGAATTATTTTTTTATGAAGTGTTCCATTTTGCCGGTGAGGTAATTTTCAGGGAAGTACTAAGAAGAACAGGCAAATCGTAAAGCCCGAAATCGATCGCCATTAAAGAAACTGTAATACGATTTGCCTGTTCTTCTTGGTACTTCTCTGAAAGCAAAGAATGATTATTAAGTTTTTGCTGAAGGAGAAAGGACCTCGGCATTTTGTAGCGTTTACACGCACTTTATAGAACACCACACTTAATTGCGAGTGATGAATTATTTGTTAACTCTTCATAATCAAATGGGACTTGCGCACATCGGCCGCAACACGGGCTTGAATCGTTGCTCTCTACTTGAAGACGACACCTATTAATTTTCAGACCTAGTTCAGACCGATCGGTCATATCTTGTAATGTAACTTTATATTTATGGACGGGACTTGCTGAAATGTTAACAAAAGAAAATTCAGCATGTGAAAAATTGCGTGGGCTCATATGCAAAAGTGAATCTCTTATTTGTGGGTTAGATACTTGGCTCAATAAAAAGCGAAGTGGTGCGTGAGAATTAAATATAATAAAATAAGGTACTGTGTCTCCACAAATTCTTCGTCACCTATGGCTAACAAAACTAAGTCGATATTGGATTTATTTGGTTGGATGACAATGAAACTGTAGAGGAAACGTGTAGCCGCTCATGATCATAGGAACGACAAAGGAATAAAAAGTGTCCCGATTCGATAAAAAATTAGGTGTCTTGGATGAGTGTGGAAAGATTAGCACATGGCTGTAATTTACTCCAGTTTATATACCTAACCCGCCTACCTGCAATTATCAAGTCAAACTAACTGTGGTCTTAACGTATTACAGGCCCAGTTACGTTAATTTTGTTTGGTGTACAATAATTCGACTTCCCGTTTAATTCAAGATAACGCCAGATTACATTTGTGATATTTGGATATACATCAGAATGTACTTTAGAAGCCACTAGCCACTGAATAGGGCAAGGATATAATGTTATTACCTTTACTTATCGCAAAACAAGAGATTTATTTGCGAACAGAAGCTATGTATAAAAGCTCCCACTGCACGCACACTGGTCCTTACCCTTCAATCTTCAAGAGACATTCGCTCTAAACTCTTTTGCAAATAATAATTGCCCCCACTAGCACACGTGATCGGTTTTATTCGTATTTCATCAGCAGTAGAGCAATTTGCAAACAATATAATATAATAACAAGTATAGGCCAGCAGAAACAAGTAAATGCAAAAAGTAAATTAAGCTGTCAGTCAAATCCATTGGAAGCTTAAAAGAAAGCTGTACTTGCTGTAATTTATTTTCCAGTAAAAAAATTAAACAAATTTATATATTTCAAGTAAAATACGCCATTTCAAAGAACGCACTTATTTGAAAAAAAATCCTTTTAATCATAATGTATAAGAGGGTATGTTTAAAAGGAAATAAAATTGCCTAAGTTTAGTGATTGCTAATTGCTCTTTGATACAGTATACGCTTGAACTATATCGTTTAATTAGTCCAAAAGTTTAACAGTCTTCTACTCTGCCTTATGTTAAATTGTTAACATATTACTGCCAATATAACTTTAGAATGTTAGTAAGTAAATTGTGAATTTGAGGTTTTCCGTAAAATTCTTATACGAGGTTTGGTTTCCTTTTGTAGGCCATTCACAATCATGAGGGCGATTAAGTTGGTGAAATGCGAAAGTCATGTGTAAATGAAATGGGAGAAGTGTGTTGGTTTCCCCCGATGTATCGTAATTGTTTACTCTGAAATCTATACCTACCAAAATTGGTACTTTCGTAAAGGTAAAATAAACGCAAATGAATAGCATCGGCTTTTAGTGATTATACGCGAATGAATAAATATAATAATGATAATAATAATAACACACAAATTATATTGGGACAGGACACTACTCACAGACAAAACTATCCACAATAATAGACCAGACATTATTTATAGATAAAACACAAAAATCCATTTGTATTATAGACATTGCCATACCTAACACTAACAACTTAACTAAAACACATGCAGAAAAACACCGCAAATACACCGATATATCTATCGAGCTTAAGACGCAATGGAGAATGAAATCTATTGTTATATTTCCCATTATTCTTAGTGCTACCGGAGTTATTCCAAAGACAATACACCACAATTTACAACTTTTAGGTTTAGATAAAAACACATACAAACATTTACAAAAAGCAGACATTATCAACACATGCCATTTTGTTCGTAAATTCCTAAACATAACACATGATAGTACATCCACACATGATCCACAACGTATACATGGGAACAACAGTACTCGCTCACAACACGGTACACAACATACTGTAATATCTCCACCGCTAACCCAAACAACCACACAAATACAACTTCCTGAACAAACAAACACAATAAATACAAGCACAGATTTAAATATACTTAAATCTGTGATACAAGTAACGCAACAAGCACTACAAAGGCAGACCCACCCAATAAAGTTACACGTCCTAGCACAGTTTAAAAACACAATGCTCTTTCTTCTCAGAAACACACCACGTTATCACAACCCACTCATATTCAACCCAAACGCAAAGCCAAATAAACCCTTACACAATAAACAACGCCACTTACTTAAATTTTAAAAAAAACTTTAAGCAACTTTAACAAAATTGCTAATATGTGTGACATTAACACTTGCTCAGTATCTGATCTTAAAAGATTGATGGAATATTTTTAATCTTATTTTTAATCTTTAAGTTTAATATCATTTAATTTGGTTTTTATTAGGTTAGCGGTTAAGATATTAGTATATTTAGTTATTGTGCTTTCTTAGATTAGTAATTGTCCTATAATTGGAATTTGATTCTGTTGGGCAATAAGTCATATTATTATTATTATTATTATTATTATTTACCCAATTTGCAGAAATTTTGATTTATTTATTTATTTTTTTTTGTATGCTTGTATGTTACAGACAAACATTTGAAACATTAATCGTTACTTGATTTTAATCCGTGCGATTAGTTAACCAGGTTAGACCTGAAATGTTCTTTATAGATAATCCGTTTTATAGTTGCATATTTATTTATTTGTATAAAATTTATTAATATTAAATCAGATTACGAAGTCATGGCGATGTATAAGGAGTGACATTGGTCATTTATAGAAAGTATTTTTCGAACGCGACGTACATTTTTCAATAAATTTCATTTTTGATAGTTACAATACAATTTGTCTCGAATCGTGATTTGTGTAATAGTTCATTAAACTTCCCCCTTGGTCCCGACAATAATCAATCAACAACAATTCCTCACGTTTATCCTAATTGTTTTATCCCTTCTTACATCACCATCACAGAAGAAAGTCCGACGTTCCAACACATTTTGGGATAAGTGGATTGATTATTTTTTATACTTCAAGCTTAGAAATTAGAAAGATACTTAACGTCAAAGATTATAATCCATTCAAAAGTCGAACAATAGTGTCAACGAATACCTCTGCAAAATCTAACTATGTCTTTCTATGTGTATATATGTAAATGCGAGACGCAA